TTTTTTTGGGGGCTCTTAAGCAAATAGTAGGTTTGTGTGGGTGGAAATGAGCGGAAGGGCCGCAGCATTGGGAGGTTTTCTTCCAGGGGGGAGGGGGAGGGAGGAGTACTTGTTTGGGGTCTGGGTTTAGGGTTTAGGGTTTAGGGTTTAGGGTTTAGGGTTTAGGGTTTAGGGTTTAGGGTTTAGGGTTTAGGGCGGGGCTTCCTGTCATAGGGATCTTGACATGCCCGTCTGGTCTACGCAGCTCCGCTGGGCAGCCGACCCTCTCCTCAGGAGCGTTGCAAGCCTGACGGCGTAGAGGTTAGGGTTTTGGGGTTTAGGGTTTTGGGTTTAGGGTTTAGGGGGTACTCTGAGCTGGAAACTGGAAAAGCACAGGCAGGGGGTTGGAAATTGCCAAAGGCTCACCTCGTTTGAGGTGAAAGGCTACCTGCTGTAGGTCAATAATCCAAAGCCGACTTCTTTGTAGGTTACGCCAAAAAGAATCCTACAAGTGGTGAGAAGTTCGCAAAGTAGTTGCCAGATACTTTGCAGTGGCTCAGATCGTAGCGAAGAAGCACATGGAGCACGTCGCAAACCCGCGCAACAGGAGCATCGGCGTAAGGGTATGCAAGAAATACGGCTCTCCTGTAGTATCAGCTTCAGGTCACAATCACACGATGGTGACCAAGGCGAATGATCAGAAAGCTGAGCTTGGCAGACAGGTCTGCCGAACTCACATTTGCTTTTCTTTATTCTCGCTGCAGCAAGATGCCCTAAGCCCTCAGCCCTAAGCTCTAAGCCCTAAGCCCTAAACCCTAAACCCGTTGCCTGACTCGTGTGGATCTTGTTTGCCAGCATCAGGAGGAAGAGCGGGAAGCCTTCGAAGACGAGCTTGTCTTCGGCCTTGGAGCACTCCCACAACAAAAACGGCGCCGATGTAAACGCCCCCCCACCCCCCCCTCGTGAGATGTTCCCCCTTATACGAACAGTCCTTAATGGGGATTCTAATAGGGGGGTACGATAATCATCCCTTTTAAGGACTGTTAGTATATACTAACAGTCCTTAATCAGGATTGTAGTAAAGGGGTACTCGAACTATCCCTATTCAGGACTGCTAGTTTCAGGGGGATTATCCCAAGCCCCCCTCTGTAAAGGCTTCGGAAAGGTCTCCGGCGGCGCGGAAGTTACCAGCGTGCTGGCAAGCATCCTGCGATGACTTGGATGCTTCCAGAACGGTTCGGGCAAGTGAAAACTTCCTAAACCCTAAACCCTAAACCCTAAACCCTAAACCCTAAACCCTAAACCCTAAACCCTAAACCCTAAACCCTAAACCCTAAACCCTAAACCCTAAACCCTAAACCCACAACTCAAGAGGGCCTGGAACATCCGCTGCAACGGGAGGTTGCTGACCTCGGGCTGACATTCGGGGATCCTCTTGCTTTCTATATGGTTGCTCAAAAGGGTTTAGGGTTTAGGCTCAAAAGGGTTTAGGGTTTAGGGTTTAGGGTTTAGGGTTTAGGGATGTTCCCCTTCTACTAACAGTCCTGAATATGGATTTTAGCAGGTACTATGCTCCCCATCATGAAGGACCGCCAGTAAGGGGCAACATCCCAAAAAGGGACGTTTTTGTTGGGACCGTTTTGGGAACAGGGAAATGCTCCGCCATGATATGTTACGGTTGATCAAAACATATCTGTTCCCAATAGTAGTTTCCCTTACTAAACCAAACTAAGCACCCTAAATAATTTCCCAAGAAGGGCCTTTCGATCAACCCCCACATTGGCCTAAACCCTAAACCCTAAACCCTAAACCCTAAACCCTAAACCCTAACCCCTAAACTTAGGCCTTAAAGCCTCAGCCCTCAACCCTGCCTCGGCAAGGAAATCGAAGTCGATGGCGAACCTCCAAGACTCGGAGCTCATTGTGGCTAGTTACCACAGGAACTATGTATCCATGTAACTAGGATGGTCCCTTAAACCCTCTGAAAAATATTCCAATCCTCTCAAGCCAATAACGGAAAATAAAACTATCCCAAGGGCCTAGCGAGGTGATTAGACCGCCTAACCCCCAAAGAGGCTTACTTTCGGGCCCGGGCAGGTTCTATGAAGGTACTCTAGGGGTCGGAATTAATCACTAGTCATGTTCCCTTCTGGTCCCTTTATACTGGACCCCGAAAGCCCTATTCAATTATTCCGGCCCCCATGGCACCTGGGCTTAAAGGGGGTTGCGGGTGTTGCTGAGCACCTCGTCACCGAGTCTGAGTTCCACTGCCTCAGCAAATGGGCTCAGAATCCTAGCGACCTACCTGGGGGTTCATGGATAGTCGTAAGTAGGGTTGTAAGTACCCTAAATAAGGTTATAGCCAGTTATGCTTGGAGGTTCATGGGTAGTTATAAGTAGGGCTATAAGTACCCTAAATAAGGTTATAGCCAGTTATAGCTATAGTTACCCTACCTGTACCCCCACTTAATAACTTCCCATGAACCTTCAAGTCCCGGCAGTGCAGAGCCTGCTTGTACGATGACAGGAAAATATCGGCTGGGTCCGGTCAAGTCCCTGTTGCTCTGAGGGTCACGACGTAGGACATGAGGTGCGTAGCTTGCCACGAGGGTCCCCCTTGGACTAACAGTCCTTAATAGGGATTCTAGTACCTACCCTAAACCCTGAACCCTAAACCCCAAACCCTAAACCCTAAACCCCAAACCCTAAACCCTAAAACCCTAAACCCCCTTAGGGTTTGATAGGCTTGAGCGCGGGTCGAGCTGGGCTTCCGGCCTCCGTGCCGTAGGCTCCGTGGCGTAGCAGTGGAAGAGCTGCAACACAATTTAGGGCTTAGGGTTTAGGGTTTATGGCATGGCCCCCATGTCATCCCGTGGCTGAACTCTCGCATCCGACCGGATCCACCTTGCTCAACCCGGCACTGCAATCGGTCATCAACCTGGTGGCACACACGGTGTGCTTATTGCCGCTGACTCTTCAAATCTAATCGGTACAACCGTAGAACACTTCGGAACACCATGGCCAGTGAACGAGTGGCCTGCGCTTCTGTGGCTTAAACCCAGCTGCCACTTTCCAGCTTTCTCGATGCTGTAGCATGGTCTGTTGAAGCCTGTCGCGCAGGCCGGAGCCCACTTGGAGCCCAGCTTCTTCACCTCCGGCTTGTCCATGAGGTCAAGCGCACAAACCAGCTCCTGCATCAGAAAGTGGGAAGTGAGCGCCAGACGCCCCTCAACCCGATAAACCAGGAATGCCTTAAACTCCGAGCATGCGTCGCTCGCGAAAGTGAGCCTTCTCATCTTGTTTTGACTTGAGGCAGCCAAGAGCCCGGCCCAGTACTTGTGCCAACCTATGCTTCACGGAGTCCCGCATCAACATCGCGAAAACATGAATGCTTCCATGACTTGGAATCCTCGCTGCGAGTCCGAAGAAGAACTCCATTGAGCGGCACGATGACCTCAAGGCTGGCGGTATACACAGCGTTTCCAGTTCATAGGGGTCGCGAAGGAGAGACGTGAAGAAGGCGTCCATGAATCAGGGCTGCGGCACGGCGGCAGAAGTTCTCCAAGCCACCAGACACCTGTTCGAGCTAAATTGTATGTTGCATCCCTTGTGAGCCTCCAGGGTTTAGGGTTTAGGGTTTAGGTTTAGGGTTAAGGGTTCTCATGCCGGAGAACACTCAACAGGTTGCAAACGACCGACTGCCTGCTGATTGTTTCTACAAAAACTATTAGGAATACGAGAACCGCGATCACCACCACCACCACTACCAGTACCTCTACCACTTCAACTCTACTACAGCCACCAGCACCACCAGCACCAGCACCACCACCACGACGACTTACTACTACTACTACTACTACTACTACTACTACTACTACTACTACTACTACTACTACTACTACTACTACTACTACTACTACCACCCTAAACACTGACTACTCACTTCTGAAAGAAACCATTATTACAGCTTCTTGGTTATTACCTTTCTCTCGTCCCAGGGTCATCCTGAGACCCTAAACCCTAAACCCTAAACCCTAAACCCTAAACCCTAAACCCTAAACCCTAAACCCGAAACTCCCAGGGTCATCCTGAGACCGTGGCATCTTCGGGAGCCATGCACTGCATCGCCACCTTCGAGGAGACGCTTCGGACATCTTCCGACCCTGGGGTTTAGGGTTTAGGGTTTAGGGTTTAGGGTTCAGGATTTACTATACTCCCCTCCGAACCTTAATGAACACATTGTTCTAATCTTCCCTTGCTATAGTTTAGGCTTCTGAGCGCTGGATCTAGGATTTTAGGGCTCTCGGGTTGCAGTTTTCAGGAGTTTAGGGTCGGACCTCAAGGGACTACAGGAGGGACCCGTGTAAGGGACCTTAGGGTTTATTTATGGCTTATTTAGGGAATATTTGGACTTAAGGGCGTGGGGGGTTTGGATGCCGGCTGCCCTTGTGAATACGCGACCCACTTCGACGCGGCAGAAGCCGGGGCACGTCAGCAAGGGCTTTCGTGAAGCTTTCCACCTCGACAGAGGCATGATGCCATTGTGTTGCATAACTTTACGGAATATATGATACAAGTATATTTCTAAATAAATAAATAAATATATATATATATATATACATATGGTTATTTTGGTATATTTTTTAATTAATCACACATATAGACATGTATATTATATGTCATATAAGTTGTGCACCGGCACCCTCAGCCCGCCACCGTCATGAGCCGCTTGGAGCCACCCCCCGCCTGCACAGTCGCTTTGATTCTCATGGCGTGTCTTTAGGGTTTAGGGTTTAGGGTTTAGGGACATTTTGGTCCCTTTTTTCCGTCGTGGAAAGAGCATGCTTCAAGGCGATCTTTGTTGCAAGACGATGCAAGCCCGCATCTCCGCACCTTTGCACCGGAGCCTCGTCCTGCTAAAGTCCCTAAACCCTAAACCCTAAACCCTAAACCCTAAACCCTAAATCCTAAACCCTACACCCTAAACCCTAAACCCTAAACTGTTCTTTTTCCTTCACCTCCACGCTTGCCATGGTGCAGCAGACCTTCGGCCGTGCTGCACCGCGCATGGCTACGGCCTCTGCATGAGGATGGCTTTTCATCCACTCCAAACCCGTGCTGTTGCAGCTGCAAGATGGTGTACCAGGATGGGCGACTTGGCCTTCTGATTGAAAATCCCCATCATGAACCCTGTAAAGGGCCGTTTTTGAGGGATCATAGGGTACAGTTGGGCTACTTTAGGCCTTGTAATCCCCATCATGAACCCTCTCAAGGGCCGTTTAAGGGATGCCTTCTAATCCCCACCATGACCCCTATAAAGGGCCGTTTAAGGGATATAGGGTATAGTTGAGCCACTTTAGGCCTTCTAATCCCCATAATGAACCCTACAAAGGGCCGTTTAAGGGATTATAGGGTCTAGTTGGGCTATCCCCATCATGAACCCTATAAAGGGCCGTTTAAGGGATTATAGGGTACAGTTGCGCTATTTTAGGCCTTCTAATCACCACAATGAACCCTACAAAGGGCCTTTGAAGGGATTATTGGGTATAGTGGTAAAGCAGCAGACACCTACTTCGCTCATGTGCAAAGGAAGGGCTGGAATCCGCGATCCAAGGCCATCTCTTGACTGTGGTCTTTAGGGTTTAGGGTTTATAGGGTTTAGGGTTTAGGGTTTAGGGTTTAGGGCTTAGGGCTTAGGGCTTAGGGTTTAGGGCTTAGGGTTTAGGGTTTAGGGTTTAGGGTTTAGGGTTTAGGGTCCCATCATGGCCTATATCTGCCCAGATTCGTCTTTGTAGCGCTTGCAGCTGTGACTGCTCGGGCTACTTGCCGCTGGTGAGACACTTGAACTGCGCACGTGAAAACCGGGAAATCCGGGAATCCTGACCTGCGACAACTTCCACTCGATGTCCTCCTTGCTCAGAGAGCCAGGCACTCGTCCGCGGATTTCCACCGGGCGGAGCCAGTTCACAACACCATCCCAACAGCTTTGCATACGCACGCCGTATGCGCAGCACAGGATGGTTCACACTCAGCTCACATGCAGGCCAGGATGGGTGATTAGGCCTTCTAACCCCCATGATGAACCCTATGAAGGGCCTTTTAAGGGATTATAGGGGTATAATATAGGTTTAGGGTTTAGAGGGTAGAGGGTTCAGGGTTTAGGGTTTAGGGTTTAGGGTTTAGGGTATAATGGCCCATCCTGGTGTCGGAGGCTACATGGAGAACACGACCGCTTGATGCGGGTCTTAACTCCAAGGCGCCCAGACAATCCTAACAACCACGCACCGTGACTGCTAATCGATCAGGTCCTGGATCCAAACCCCCTGACAAGCATTGGCTACTTTGCATATTTCCGAAAGCTGCGATAATCATCGGGCTTGCTACTTGCTGCAAGGCCTTAAGCCCTAAGCGACCCAACTCACTTGCTCACAAACCGCCCCACAGCCGCTACGTCAGCCGCAGGGTCATGATCAGCCGGGCAGTTCGGGCGACCCAGCTGCAGCTCTTCATCCACTGTCCCATGGTCAGCTCCTTGCCCACGCCTCCGAGGGGTTTAGGGTTTACAGCGTTTAGGGTTGAGGGTCTACCAGTAGACTTCTGGGTGCCAAACAAAATGAGTGCTCACTCAATGGCAGTTCTGGCAGGTTGTCGGTAAGCTGCGCAAAAGCCGAGTGCTACAGAATCCACAGAACTAAACCCTAAGCCATAAGCCCTAAGCCCCTAAGCCCCTAAGCCCCAAACCCCAAGCCCTAAGCCCTAAGCCCTAAACCCTAAACCCTAAACCCTAAACCCTAAACCCTAAATCTAAGCCCTAAACCCTAAACCCACGCCCCTGCCCCTGCCCTTCCGACCAGCGAAGGCTTCATCCAGGATCTGCTCCCAGTCACTTTGGCGCAGGTTGGCATCGAAGCGGTCGAGGCAAAACCTGAAAACCACCGTGCAGCTACTTGGATGTTTAGGGTTTAGGGTTTAGGGTTTAGGGTTTAGGGCTACTTGGGGGTTCATGGTACATATTAACCAAACATAACTGTACTTGTGACTGTACTTATAACCATACTAGGGCACTTAAGGGGCTTCTAGGTAATGAGAGTAACCGGGTGGCCTTTAAAACCATCTGAAAACAAAATCCTGAATATGATCCTCTTGAACCCAATCAGGGGAACGATATCAAATGTCCCACGGGCCTACCGAGCTACTCTTCAGCATCTCGCCCAAAACCCTATAAACCCTACAATCCTACAACCCCCCTCAGCCCTCTCAACCCTCTAAACCCTCTGAACCCACTGAACCCTAAACCCTAAACCCATCAAGCAAGATGACTCGGAATTCGGAATCGGGCCTCTTGGCCTCCACACGACAAGCGCTCGCTTCCGCCGAGCCATGCGGGCTGAGCTTCCTCGGATTGAAGCGGCGGAAGAACAAACCAATCGTAACTGAGTTGTCCAGTACCTAGGGGGAACCAAAGGTTAACCTTTGGGATTATAAGGGGATTATATTACCCCAAAAAAGGTTAAAGGTTACCTACTCTACAGCTAAGGTAACAACAAAGAAACAGACAGTAAGAACATGCAACAATACAAGCAAGGCACAATATAATCGTCGCAATCGTAGTCGTAATCGTCGTCGTAATAGTCATAGTCATAGTCATAGCCATAGTCATAGTCTATCATAGTAATAATAATCGTAATGGTAATCGTAATCGTAACAGTAACAGTAGTTGAAACGGTAATGGTATTGGTAATGGTAGTAGCAACAATAAAGCCCTGCTCTCAAAGGTCTGTGACAAGTCCGTGGACTGATGTGGCAGTTGCAGCTGCAATCGTTGTTGTGTTCCTTTTGTTTCTGCTGTTTCCTTTGCTGAGTTGCCTGCTTGCGGGTTTCTTTACCTGGGGCTCTGGTGGGCAACCAATTCTGCGGGCTTGGCCAAGGCACCTTTCTCGGGTACGGAGGCGGAAGGTGCCGCTTTTGCTTCCGTCGCTTGGCAGCTCCAACAACGCATGCTGGTGCACGCTACAGCTACACGATTTCGAGACGAACCGGTCCGAAAGAATGTTGAAAGGCTACTCAAAGTTTACACTGGCGGAACTCCCCGAGGTGGGTGGCATGACTTCGCAGGTCTTGCAACTCATCCAGGCATGACGTGTTGATGCCAAAATGGTACCTGGGCCTTCGAAACCTGGAGAAACCCTGTACCCTTAAACAAAGCGGAAGTGCACCTTACCAGCAGTTGACTGGGCAAACTCCTCGTTCCTAAGGTACAACAGTTCGTCTAACTAAACCATACTAAATCGTGAAACCCGAAACCCTAAACCCTAAACCCTGAACCCTAAACCTTAACACCCTGAACCCCGAGCCGACTTCCCAGAGGAAAAGCCTGAAAAGTCCTGAAACTTTTGGGGGCGCGCAATTTCCCGAAGCACCCAGAGTCCCTGATCTTCAAGGCTTCTAGCCTGTTAGGGTTTAGGGTTTAGGGTTTAGGGTTTAGGGTTTAGGGTTTAGGGTTTAGGGTTTAGGGTTTAGGGTTGATCGTGGCCCTTGCCGAGGTGATTGCGTTTTCCTTTCTTTACCGCCGTCCTTTCCTTTCCTTATCCAAGAGAAACCGTCCAAGTGAGCATAGAACAATAGGGCAGGGCCACCACTTGCCCTCCCCCCATGTATGCAGCAGCTTTCCGCTTAGAGATCTTCGCCAATTCTGGCACAGCATCTTTTGCCCGTGGGCCAATGATCTCAAGAAGGGAGCAGGAGAAAGATAGGATTCAAGTGCCCACAATACACGCGCATAGGACCCATCACACGCCTCCTCCGCCTGTACGTGTGATGTACGCCCGGACGCAGACATCACGGGAGGGCGAAGTCCCAAAGTGCCACGCGTAAAGTAAAGGTTGGAACGTAGTGATCAGAAAAGACTACCTAGGAACCCGACCTTTGAAAGCGAGCTGAGGCTGATGCAATGAATGTTCATCACCATCTTCATAAAACTGTGATGAGAACCACGTTATTTTGGGTTGTCCTCGATTATGCCTGAGTGCACCTGGGATTAAGAGCCAACGTTGGCCCAGGCTTAAACTCGTCAGCACCAGACCTGCGATGTACAAGGCCACATGCAGCTTCTGTCGGCTCATGCTCCGTTGCAAGCAAAGGTCGTGAAGATTCGCAGAAGTGTGGCGTTTGAGACGCACCTCTCTCGCATCGTGCGAAGAAACTCCTTGAAGGTCGGGTCCACCCGCATGTCCGCATCTTTTGTCGGCAGCGACAGCGCCCCTCCTTCAACCTGCCACGGGAAAGGCTGAGATGCGCATGAAAAGAAGGCAGTGCTTGAGTAGGTCAGGGTCCTTCCTAGGGCAGTGATGACACACGTCACGAATTCCGCTGACGTGCTGGCACAGGCTGATACTGCGTAAGTTCCATGGGTCTCTCTTTGGTCATTCTGCATCACAGCCCTGCCTTTAAGGGAACCGAATAGCGTAGGCGTGAGAACATCAGGGATCCAGTAGTTTAGACAGGGATTTGTTCTAAACTTGAAGACATTAAGTCTTTGCTGGCCTTCCGCCCGGACTTGGTTACACGGCTTCCACGATGATGTGTGAAGAACCAGCACGAGCAGCAAGAACGAAACCACATGGGCCCCACATGTCACGAGCTTCCGTCCGGACTTGCACATTTTGCGCCCCCTCGCTCCTAGACTAAGTAGAGAACAGGGGCTTTGGAACACTCTCATATGCCTCCAAGGAATTGTAGAGCTGCCC